TGAAGCTTTCACAGTCCAATCTCCTATCTTTATCTTAAATCATGTAATTATTCTTCATATTTGTCTTTATTGATTCCTGTGTGAGTTTATGTTTGTTTCTATTTTTTTTAACACAAATCATGATATAAAGTGTAGCATAATTCAAATTTGAAAACTGAGTAAAAGTATGATTGAATCTATGGTCTTCCATTTTATAGAAGGTGGTCTAATGATTGAATGAAACTGACAGGCATCCAAGTTTAAATCTATATTTTTCATTTCTAGGTTCATTTCTAAAAGGAGACTGCTGCTCATCTCTGCTCCCTCTGAGGATGACTATTTGTTTCAGCAGCAGCTCTCTGCTGTCAGAGGACAGGAATGTCCCCTGGGTACGTGTTTTAAAAGACCTGCGGTAACAAGGAAGTGTTACAAGGAAGCCAGAAGTCAGACATGGGTAGATTTGTCATTGTTGTGAAATTTGGACCTGAAAAGGCATACCATTAAACAAAACTGTACGGATCATGACAGAATCAAACAATGAATATTATAATATGAAATTAGTGTATTAAAAATGTTATACATTTATAAAATTGTGCGGTACGAGAGCCATATTATTTGAAATATATAACCATAGCTAGACAGGCGCTTAGCTAAATAGGTTCATCGACACAAAAGCATTTCTTTGTCTTTATAAAAAAGGATCGTTTTGATTATCTGTGCTGAATGTGTCCCTTTTAATGAGTCTAAATGTACCTTCTCTTGTGTGTTTCTCAGGTATTCGTCACTTTGCCATGCTAAAGCTGATAGGAGCGGAAGAAAAAGCATCAGGAACTGTTGAGTTATTTCCCTTAAATGGTATGTCATGGTAATGTGGGGCATTCCAGGTGTATGAGACGTAATGGAGCATACACGTTTGAAATCATTAGTAATATTGTATATTTTAAGGTAGGTAGTTTAATAAACATTTTGGGTTAAGAGCAGATTCTTTGTTAAAAAAAAAAAAAAAGATGGATGTGGCTTGCGTGATCTCACCTGTTTTGTGGACTCCAAAAGGCTACATCTGTCAACCAAAGGAAGCGTGTAGCTGAGGAAGACACATTCAGTATTTATATTCTATCATGCTGTCACTACTGCTAACCTTTTGCCACATGTAGATATGTGGTTTGGCCTGAACAGAGATGCAGTTGGCAAGTGTAGTTTGGCAGAGAGAAAACAGTTTCTACATCAGTGGTGGGGAACTCTAGGCCTGAAGTGCCGGTGTCCTGCAGGTTTTAGATCTCACCCTGGGTCAACACACTTGAATCAAATGATTGGTTAATTACCAGGCCTCTGGAGAACTTCAAGCCATGTTAAGGAAGAAATGTAGCCATTTTAATCAGCTGTGTTGATCAAGGACACATCTAAAACCTGCAGGACAAAGTTTATTTTTGCTGAAAAGTTGAGCATTTTAACATAGAAGTATATGGGACTCTCTCCCTTTTGGAGCCTAGAGGAAATGCTTTTGAAAGTTTTGTTTTGACTGTGGTTTTAAGGTTGAGCTGTCATAAGATTTTATCTAATCTGAACGAATCTGGGTTATCCTAGTTTTCGTTTCTTTCGCTTTTCACTGTTTTGTATAATTTAAATGACTTCCATTCTGTCATCCTTCCCCCAGGTCGCAGTCAGACTGAGGTTGAGTCATTGACACCTCACTTGGTCAACAGTATGAGGGAACAGCTAAAGATCGATAAGGACTATTTCAGCATGGTGGTTGTGGGGAAGGATGGTGACCCCAAAACATGGTTTCCATCACCTATGTGGTCTCTGGATAACATCTACGACCTGGTGGACTCTATGGAGCTCCGCCTCCAGGAGGAGAAGCTGCAGAAGAGGCTGGGGATTCACTGCCAGGAGGACAGAGGAAGAGGCGGCAACGAGCAGGAACACTCCCACGGATACAATGTAGAGAGGGCAGAGATGATGCACTTCTACAGCCAATCGGAGGAATAATGACAAAAAAAGAGGAAGAAGCGATTATCTACCTAAATTTTTTAATATGAAACAAAAAGTATCAACATGTGGATTTGACTTGAGCCAATAATTGGCTTATGAGTCCAAAACTGGACTCATAAGAATCAATAAAGTTGATGTATAGATGATGATCTGCTGGATCTTACAATAATAAGCTGGATATTTTACAAGAAATAAATACATTTGAAAAGATAAGCAGACAACAATGGCGTGGTCTTATTCAAGCATTTCAACTGCCCTTTAAAAAAGCAGTTTTCTCTTTGACTTCATATGTAAAAAGGGAAGAAAGTAATTTCAAGACAGAGCAGACGGTGCTTTTTACTAATATGTCTGTCTAGACCTTTCAAACACATCCACTGTGCAAGTACAAAAAAGGAAATGTTCTCTACTGAAATATGCCGATACTAAAACGAACAAAGTATTGAAATAGAAGAAAGTTCTTTTTATTTAAGCCATGACTTTTTAAAGAGCTGCATAAACCTCATGGTCAGTAATACAGATGTTAACAAAGGTTTTACATGAGCTCTTCACTTGTCTGCATGGACTGATTTCTTGAATTCAGAAGTCCTAACACAGAAAGTTTAACATCGAATTGTGACCAGAACGTGATATGACTCATTCATCCAAATACTAACAAACAAAGCCATCGGTCTTAACCAAACCGGGATCCAGCAAGGGGAATAGCAAATGTTTACAATGAAACTCATGTCAGATATATCCTGAAGCAATGTTTAGTAAAATCAACACAAGAAGAAGATATGCAGGCGTATCTCAGAGCAAAAGCAAGTGTCCAAAATAGCAAACACCTCACATGCAATAATATGGCTCTGCAATATTGACTCTGCAAGTGCAGCGGCACATAATTAAAAAAGAGTGAATTAAACCTTTAACATAGAGGTTATACATCACAAAAGAAAATAGAAAAGAAAGTAAAAGCATTTTTACTTTAAAAATGAGGGTTGATGCTAAAGGTAGTAACACATAACATAACAGATGTGAAGAATAGTGGTTGTAACATAGCTATGATGTGTAACAGAAAGTGAATGTACAATAAGTTGAACAATAAATCTAATCAAAACATGGTACAATATAACAAAGCAAAAAAAGTGAAAAGAAAAACACATCCATCACACAACTGGCTCTAAATTCAGCTCTGGCCTTCACCTCAAAATGTGAATTATAAGTAAGAAGAAGAAGAATGAAGGTTGAAGTAAGACAGAAAGTCACTTTAAATTGTCTCTGTGTCAAATTTGCATGCTGACATAATGTGCCTCATAAATTCCAAGGAAAAGGAAGCCAGGTCGATTAGAGACCTTAGAGAGAAATCCAAATAGTCCCTTTGAGCTTCCACTGACAGTGGCGTAACAGACTTTGTTTTACCAGGAGTGACTCCTCCTGACCCCACTGACCACCAACCGGACCGGTTGGTGCGAAAAGAAACAACAGACAAACAAAGCAGGTTGGTCAGGCCTGTAACCATAAATACAGAGAATGTCAAACACAATGGAGGAAGGAGGACAGAGAAGAAAAGGAACAAGCAAATTACAAAACATGAAAGGATGCAACAAAATATGTGTAGCCATCATTAAAAATACTGTCTGTCCAGATTTTACACCTTGTTCTGATTCCTGGTACAAATTCTATGTTGCATGAATTTGTTTTAATTGTTACTACAAAATCAGATAGAAAATGCCATATTGGTGTCCACTAGGGGGCTCTCTTTAGGGTTAATGAGGCTCAACTGGTGGAGTTACTCAACTTTCGCATAGAAAGCCTGTGTTGACGCTTGTATTTTCTGCTCTTTATACAGAGTATGTTCTCAGTTCTAAATTGAGCTTATTAGCTGTTAGCATGCTGAAACTGAAACTTCTCTGCAAATTTTACTTATCACTACATCTTCTCATTAAATTTCGGTCCACTCAGCTGTAGCTGTCGCCTGCAGTTACATGAGACACTGGATATGCAGAGTAATAACCTAGCTAATAAAGACTGGGAAAAAAGAAGAATATTAATGCTGAAGGCAGACAATTCATGAAGAAGTGGCAGACTACATAAATTACTTCTTCCCCCTTGTGCATTTCCTACAAGATTATTTGTAATCATCATTGCCATTTTTGATCTACACACCCACAACAAAACTTAAGCTATGAAGCGTTAACAGAGGTTTTCTAAATGAAGCCTAGTACTATAAGTATTCTTTTAGTGAAGCTGTAAAGCTCACTTTCTTACAACAGAAAAACTGTGCGCATTTGCAATTCTTAAATCCTTACATGCAGCCAATTTTCATGTCAGAAGGCTGAATAGTGCATGTAAATAACACCATCAAAGGTCTTTTTCTTCATATTTATGAAATTTTCCATAAAACCACCGACTTATCATTTGAAAATATGATAGGATAAACCTAAAGTGTTCTCACATACTTAAAGATTAGTGTGTGAGAACACAATTGCATAAAGTACATGAGGCCTCATGTAGCTTGGCCCTTTATGTGATTGTCATTTACCAGTTTGCCCCTCTGTGAAATGAACTGTGGCTCCTCTGATTTAGCTCAAAGCACTTCTAAGGCTTCAAAGAACCACTAGCATGGATGTACGCTGGTCTTATACGCTTGTCTTGTCTTTGCACCACTCATATGACCACAATGTTTCCTGTGCTGTCTTCTAATGTTGTTCATTGGCTATGGCTTGTTGTCTTCCCGCACTGCTGACCAAAAACTTTTTCATCATACATGCTATAACACCTCTTTAACACAGTTGCTATGAAACAGTTTTGACTGTGGCTGTTTTGTTTTTTTATTTTGACCTGCCTCTGACTGAGTGAACATCATTTGTTAAGGACAGTGGGGAAACTGCAGGGAATTTGCCAGGGATAGGCAAATCAATGAGATCAAAACACGGAGATAACAGAAGTTGTGACACCCACAGTCACACAAAACACACATACTACTAAGAGAGGAAGTAGTCAGTTGTAGACAGATGCTTATGTCACCGAAAGAACGGGAGTATACATCCCCCCCTCAGACATATATGCTCAATGCTCAGCCACACTCTTTGTCATTCACTATCAACACTCACTATCTCAGTGCCTTTCTCTCTGTGACAGAAACAGAAACTCGCACAGAGGCACTGAACAAACACTCTCCTTTATCCACCAGCCAGTCGCTGACCAGCTCTCTGCCTGGGAAAGTCTTCCTCAAGATGGTGAGTAAAACTTAAGAAACTTAAATAATTAATCATCACATTTTAAATGATTGAAATACTCTAAGTGGGCACTGTGGGTTTAACAGAAGGAACTTGCTCTTGAAACTGCAGAATGGTAGTTATGTGTGTTTTAGACGGCTCATCGTGACAGGATAGCATGAGCTTTTGTATCTTTTAGAAGTCAGCCATACTTGATTATTATTACAAACTGGTACATTTTAATTTGCTTGAGCGAGTTAATGTGTACACACTGACAAAAGCAGAGTTGTCATATTTGTATTCTGAGCGGTCAACATAAGCTTTCATTCATTTCAGGGATCGTTAAAGTTAAGTAAAGTAAAATGCTGAATTAAAACCACGTGTTTAAACTCATTAAATATAGTTTGATATTTATTTTTGTCCCAATTTTCATTTCATGTACTTTGTAAAAAATGAAAAGTTCAACCTCACAGTTGGGGTTGGTGGTTCTGGGTTTTGTGTCAGTTCGATTAAGCAAGGCACCTTTGCTCTGCACTTTTCATCACACTGTAAATAGAAATCGTGGTTCCTCTTCCTCTGTCGTTTCTCAGCTGGTCACTTTTCACAAGGCTTCTGTGAAAGAACAAACATTAAAAAAGAAAATGTGTTTGGAGTAACTGGTTTAGCATCCAAGACTCTGTGGTTATTATGTTATTTGTGCACTGATCCTGCTCCATAACAATGGATTATTTACATATAATTATTTTCATAACTATAATTACATTAAACAGCTATACATTAAATTTATGGTTCAAACCTTTGAACCATCTCAGACAAGTATATAGGTGCCACACAAACTATGGCAGCTTTGTGTTCCCGTTGAGCTGTAGTGCATTAAATGGCTATCCTATCAAGAGATGTTTCTGGTATGTGACAAAATTTGCAGGTCCTTTACAAAATTGCAACTGCAGTGCACCCGTATCTCGAGAAGAAGCAACTGCAATAATCCTGTACATAACATATTGGGCAATTTATAGCTTACCGCGGTTAAAAAACAGAAGTATTATGAGGGAACTTTCCTCTTTTTATTTCTACCGATTTAATATTCAACCGCATTTCAGGCTCAGTGTTAACATATTTAACGCTTGATGTTACTGGCACCACTGCAGTGAAGTTCCACCCACTGTCTCTCTCAGTTTACCGAGAGATTGGTTGTTAAAGAGCAAATGCTGACATTTCTCCCTTCAACACTGAAGCCATGTTGTTGACAGCGGATGTGCATTCATTGATGATAGTGAATGCACATTTCAGAATAAAATGTGTCCAAATAAAACACCATCCACTTCTCCACTGCTGATTCAGTTCTTTAGACAGTGTAGCTTTTAAAGACTCGAAATTCCCTACATGGTCTGGTCCATGGTCACTGGTGGTGACTAAAGTCATCATCTTAAAGACTGAGACTGGTACTTTTTGTCACTCCCTTTCTTTCCAGAGAGAGGGTCGCCAGAGTAGATAGATCCATGTACAGTACTGGGGCATTATGTCATCAGTAAAATATACTAGAAGTGTATTTCTCAGACGCTACAGTATGAGGTGTCTGGAAAGGCTGAAAGAAAAAGCTACTTCTCTCTAAAAAGAGCAGAGCCGCACAACTTAGGTTACAAAGTTGCGTCTGAAAAAAATCACAAGACTCCTGGAACAGTGCCTTTTGGACAGATGAGACCAAAGAGCAAATGTTTGGCAATAATAATACACTGTACCATGCTTGGGGAAACCTAAACAGCATGTTAATACAAGCGGCTCACACTAGCTTTCAAGCTTATTGATGGATGATGCTGATGATTTGGGTTTGTTTTGCAGCCACAGGACATGTGCACCTTGCAGTCACTGAGTCAACCATGAAGTCCTCTGTATACCAAAGTGTTGTAGAATTAAATGTGCAGTTTCAGCTAAATCCTGGTTGAAACTGCGTCACGAAACAGATCAATGATGCCAAGCACAGCCGTAAACCACATATAATGACTAAAATAGAAAAAGAAAAAAACACAAGGTACTGCAATGCTCTAGTCAGAGTCCAGACCTCAACCTCGCTGTGGTGGGACCTTAAGAGAGCTGTGCATCCAAAATCAATACAAATGCAAAAATGCCCACAAATTTCAATGAACAGAAGCAGTGTTTTAAAATTCCTCTATAACGTTGCAACGTAATACAGAAGAGAAGTAATACAAAAGAGAACTATTTTTAGTTATTGTTACTAAGGGTGTTTCTACAAGCTACTGAACCATGGGGTGATATTCCTTTTTCACAGGACTGTATGCTGATTATGAAACTCACTGAGCCATCATATGCAATATCACATTATTACAATGAGAAGTCAGTAAGAGAAATTAGCTTCCACTTCACTCTGTGTTTTTGTGTCTAAGTCTTAGCACATAAGTGCACATTAACACTGTGTGCCAGGTGTTTCTGTTTATAGCGGTGCGCATTTGCACTTTCCATTGCATTGTGTTCCCTTGCTTTTATTGCTCCATAGGAATAGCTGCAGCTGTGTGTCCTCATGCTCTTATCTCTACTTCCTGCTCAAGCCAGCTTCATTAGAATAGGTGTGGCTCCTAGTTGGTCACGAGCCCAATATATGACACTTTGTTAAACTGACGCTGGATGAAAGTGTGGTTAATAATGTACCTGCGGTTAGTGATGCAGCTTATTCCTGCCTCACACTTTTACATACTCACAGACCGACTGTTCCAGTTCACATATTTGAACTCCTCATTCATTCAAAGCCACTCTAAAAACACAGACCATCTAAATTATTTCCAGTGTAAACACCATTTTGCAGCTACCTTGAAACAGGTATATTACAAAGGTCCATGTAATAAATGCTTTTAAACTGGGGCCATTTGAAACTTGTGTTTATGACAGTGACAAACCAGGAAGTTGGTACAGAGTGTGGTTTGAGAGAAGGGTTTTTTTTTAGTTGGAAGTTTTTAGTTATTGTGTGTTTTTTAAAAGATGAAACCTGGAGTGAAGACAATAACTGGGCAGTAGTTGATGTTAAGACTTCCACATTATTGTGTGGGATTGTAAGACAAGTATATTAAACATCTGAAGAAAAGAAAAATCACTCAAGCCTTTGATTGATTATCTTTTCTTTTATTAATCTTAACCTATAGGATGCTTTTGTTGTACAGACATATGTCACATTTAAAAACACAGGTAGCACATTTACTCTGACATCATGTGAGAGTAGGGATAGCTCGCCAGTTTATCACAGGGCAACATAAGAGTGTACCTACAACAACTTTACAACCACCAGTTAGCCAAATATCCATGTCTTTAGACTGTGAAATGAAGCTAGAGCAAAGCCTACACAGGCACAGGCAGAACATGCACATACAAAGCCTGACCACAAGGGTCAAAACTCATACCAGTTTTTTCTGGTATGAGTCAACAATACTAACCACTGCACCACTGCACCATGCTGCCAAATGCAACACACTCAGAAACAAATGTGTTTTGAATGCTGGCAATTCTCAAGGTAAAATACTGTAAGACAGAAAATAGTCTCTTTTTTTCCAAATATTGCTTAAGAGTGCCAAACATAGAAAAATAATGTCATCTGCAGAGTTCCTGTATTACACAATCCTGTAAATGCTGAGAATACTTATAGTCAAGGAACATAAAATCCCTTATTTTCATGACAGAGGATATTTTGTTATAAACATTAAATCTTTAACAGAGTGACACTAACAAACAGGGTCCCTTTTGCAAATCCGTAGCTGCAATCAAGGTGCTGGCCTAACCACTACAACACTTTGAGATGTAGTGTCATTTGCACATGTTTGAACCACAAAGCCTGCGATTAACTTTCTGAGACAAAGCTCTGTGCATTAAGTTTCTATGTGTGCATAGAAAAAAATAGTGTGAGAGGGATCTTGGGTAAATTACTGGGGAGAAAAAAAGATTGTTTAATTGAGCAGTGAATGAGAAGCTGAAGAGAAAGCACAAATTCTACTGACTGGACAATGAAAGGAAATGAGAGGAAATGAAACTTTCTGTTCCTATTTGAACTTTCATGGCCAGCTCAGTGTGAGCAACTCATTTTTTTAAATTCCCTTTTTGCTCTGTCTGGATTTTATGTTCTGCTGAAGCCATTTATGTTCTAGCAAGCACAATCTTATTTTCCTTTAGCTTAGATTCTTCTTTAAGTAAAAATCAGATTGATCCTTACTGTGGTGTTGGATTCTTATTAACTCACTTTCTGAACCCCTTATGTCTTTTTTTTCCCCTCAGGACAATAAGTCAGATGTAAAGGCCATCATGGCTCGCTTCCAAGCAGGTGGGGGAAGCACTGACGAGACTTCCTCTGCGCCCCCTGGACGTATCAAACAACCCTTGCACCCGACCCTCTCCTCTGGCCCACCTTTACAGAAGAAACCAGTCTTGGAAAGCCTCTCTGGCAGTGCAGTAAATACGCCTCCAAAACCAAGTTTCCTAAAAAACACAGTATCTACTAAAAGTGACACAGAGGTACAAGAGCCAAATAAAGCTAAAGCCTTGGCAAGCAGATTTGCCAACATCCAGGATGATAGCAACACAAACAGCAAACCCTTTACTGTTAATAAACAGCAGACACCCTTGAAATCACCCTTATCACAGGCTCCTGAAGTTAAAAGCCTGGCACAGAAGCCTCCATTCAACAAACCTCCTCTTACCTCCACCCTGTCTGAGTCCAAACCTGCCTTTCCTAAACCTTCACCAGCAATCAGCAACAAGCCCAGCTGGGTTAAAGACGAAAACAATGCAGCACCAAACAGCAGTCCTGCGCCACTTAAATTGCCTGGTGTGCAACAAAAACCGATTGGCGGCATTGTAAAATTACGGCAGCAAGCTGAGGAACAGGCAGGAGGGAACAAAGACAATGTGATCAAACCTTCATCGCTGGCCAACTCAAAGCCCACCTCAAACTTCAGGACTGCTCAGAATCTGTTCAACAAGGAGGAAAAGACTGAGCAGACAGAGAGTGGTGGGACCAGCAAACCTAGCCTTACAGCTACTAACTCAATTTCTCCTCCAAAACCTCCAGCCAGTAAGAAGCCCAGTTTTAAGAAGCCAGTCAAGCCCTCTCCTCTGGCCAGCGGTGGTGTTAACGGAAATGATTCATCAGGCCCAAAGCGTAACCCTCTCCCCAACAGCTTGGCTCTGGGTCCTCCTCCTGCTAAACCTAACCGACCTCCAAAAGTCAACCTGGAGAATATTAAAAGAGGCCCAGAGGCCTCTGACGAGGGTAAGTTGGATTTGTCCGTGCAACTGCAAAGCCACACTATCATTTTGGTCAGTGGCATGCTGACTTTTTGCCATACATACAGCCAAGAGGCGTAACAGTTTGGTTGGATGCTAAATTGTCTGCTGACACTAGCAATCTTGGATAGTACACTCTGGATCTGTACACTGCACAGACGCATATACTTGAAAAGTAGTACTATGCAGGGATAACATAAAAATAAAATACTATAATTTCGCTCAACCAAAACTGTTGCACAGATAGGCTGTTAATATAATTAACCACAAATAACCACAAAGCTGAGAGATTTTGTACTAGTTATAAATATGCTCCAAAAGACCCCAATGACACAAAAGCTATAGATAAGTCCAGGTTATTGACTTGAATTAGCAACACTGAGACCAAATAATGTATCAAGACCCACCTTTTAGTTGTGATATGTGGCCCAGCCCTGAGCTAAATGTCATGAGCCATGCTCGATATGGGTTATGGCAAGCATGTACATGATGTGACCCAAATGTTATAACACATCTGACATCTGGCCCATAATTGGTAGACCTGTGGCTGAGATGTGGTGTTTGTACTCATCCTGAGTCAACTCCCAAAGAAAAGTAAAGAGATGGGCCACGTTTTAGCCAAACGGTCATTGCCTTTTGGATTGTGGCTTCATCTGGCTCAGGGTGTCAAAAGGAAGGAAGCCACGTAGAAGCCAAATATATATTTTGAGAAAACTTGGCCTGCTTCAATAGAGTGGTGGATCTGAACCAAGACCGTTTGTTGGCCTGTGTGTAAGGGTCTGATAAGGTTATAGAGGCAAGTTATAAACTAATGGAATTTATTGCAGGTCCAAATGACCAAAAGTCCTTTAATCTGACAGTGTAATCAAAAGAAGCACCACGAGCATGTAAAATGTTTGAGATGCTGTTTTTCACAAATATGAACACAAGTGTGCCTTGAAATTTTGGCTTGTTTAGGGTGTCGTGAGCATAAAATGACTGAATTACTGAGTTAGGCGGATAGCAGACAGGTTGCTGGCATCCACCTGTATAGCAAGCCACGATAAAGTTGTCACATTCACAAGATTTTTAGGAAACTTGACCTCTGACCCCTGACCTTGAGGCCGAGGTCACTGAGATTTAAACAACTCCTAATAGTTTTAATAGATACGATTGTATCAATTTGACACTCCTATGTTGCTTTGTTCTCGAGTTATCGCATTCAGAAACCTGCTGACAGCCTTCCATATTTGTAAAAGTTAAATGTAATCATCTACTGAATCATTCAATTCAGTTTCATTTATATGGTACCACTTAGGGTGGCTGTGGCTCAGCAGGTCAAGCAAGTTTTCTACTAAGTTGAAGGTCAGTGGTTTGATCCCTCCTCCAGTCTGTATGACACAGGATCTTAGGGCAAGATACTAAACCTAAATGAAAAGCAGTCTGGTGTTTTCTACACAAGTATGCAGTGGAGGCGTGCTTTCACAGTTTAACGTTGTCCCAGACATGTGTGATCACACTTTCATGAAGCTAAAGTTAACCCAGCACGTTAGGTACTTCCTTTATTCAGAATCAAAGGAGAGTTCAGAATTTTACTTTAAAAATATACATAGATGTAAATATATTTGTTGTTTATTTTAATTACCTGTTATCACCCATTACTGTAAGATGACAGTAGAAGTGTTGCAAGAGTAGAATGTGTACTTTTCAATACAGAACAAGAAACCTTACTATTTGAAAGTAAATAAATACATAATAAAAAAAACATCTTTTATTTGATAGATGAACAGTTCTGTGTTTCTAGTTTAAAGAAATGCTGAATATCCAAAGAGTACATTAAGAAATACTAGAAAACAGCATTTAAACCCAAACTTGGGTCTTGGATGTTTTTTATTAATAAAAAATGGATAACCGCTGTGGTTGCTGACAAATCTTGATGAGATCATGTGGAAGTAATCTGTTCCCATGTATCTCTATCAAAAGAGAACTCTAAAAAAATGCTTAACAAACTCACAAAATAGGCTTTTCAAAATGAAATGAAAATGAACATTTTATTGCTTTGCAGTATGGCCTAACGTACAAGAAAGTAGAAAATATGCTCTACATATGCGAGACAGGGAATTCAGCTTCAGGCAGTAAACCTCTGCCAGCCAGCAGGGATGCACATGTGCGCCCTCCCACCCAGTCAGAAATACTTCCGCTTTTTGTTTGATTTTAAATCCTTTGTTTTCAGTTTGGTCTCATGAGTGTTTGGTTCTCTAATCTCAATCTGTATACAACACATATGGCAAATTAAACACAGCAGAATTTGCAGGAAAACAAGCTCCAGCAACATTTTATGTAATGGACTCTCTATAGAAGCAGAGTCAGTCTCCCCACCCCTGTGAAAAGGGTTAAATGTGTAAGCGTTAATGTGGGGCACTCAAGAGCGTGCAGCTCTCGTGACTGTCTAAAGAAGGTGTTCCTCTTATTTTATTGGTTCAAGTGCATTTCCTCTATATCGCCCGCAATGCTACTTTGGACAGGATCTGTTAACGCATTTCTGAAGTGTGAAATAGAAGTTGCTTCACAAGTCAGTGTGGTTTCAGTGACGTGGGCAGTGTTTGGCCAGCAGTTATTAAGCATACTTTAGCTTATCAGACCTAAAAGAAATACACAAAGTCTGCTTGTGCATGAAATATTGCACTGCATAAGTTACTCTGTGTATTTTCAGTGTGTTTACACAAATGCTGCAGTTCTTCCGAGCTTCACGTAAGAGACTAAAGTGACAAAACTACACTAGGTTCCTCTATTTGCAAGTTCCCTGTCCAGTTTCTCTTTTCTACCCCCACTTCACTCGCCACTCTGACAGCTGAGTTTGTTTCACCACATGGGGAAGTAAGTTCCAGCAAGCCAGCGAGCCTTTTTAAAGACTGGCTCTGTCTATAGCCACATACGTGAATATATTCCAGTCAGAGGTCGGCTGTCTTGGCTGAAATTCTGGGTCACTCGCTAGAGGCCAAGAGAGCAATGTTCTGATCACAGTTTTGCAGTTTTGTGAGATTCATCCCACCAAACCACATTACCTAGTGTCCACTAGTAATAACTCTGGATAATAACACTGTACTCTCACTTTCTTTCCTTTCTTTCTTATGGCTTTTGTTATCCTATATTGATCTTGAGTAAAGTTATAAAGATTTACATAATTCGCATCGCCTACGTTACTGGAGTTTGTTTTTAGGTGCATCATTCAAATTTAGTGGCCAAAGAAACACATTTACCGATGTTATAGACACACAATCTTGAAGCACTTACTGTTGATTACTTCCTGGTTGTTGTGCATTACACATTATACACCTGAATACATTTCATGGCAAAAAAGACTCCATATTCGAAAAATTTTCAAAGACGTAGCTGTTTTCACTTTTACTTTCAGTACTCTCAAAACTTCGTGAGTCACATTTTAAAGTTCCTGGGACATTTTTTTTATGTGGACAGTGAGCGAAGATTGGTCATTGTTCTCGAAATCTTGTGACACAAGGGTTACTTAAGCAGGAAAAACACTCTAGGACAGGGGTCGGCAACCTGCGGCTCCAGAGCCGCATGCGGCTCTTTAGTCCTTATACTGCGGCTCCGCGTGGTTTGGGAAAATAAATGAGAAGTATTTAGCTGAAGTGTATTTTATTTATGTTAGTTCTTTTTAACTTGTAGTTCTAAATTGGAAGATTATTGTGATATTGAAATATAAAAATAAAATTATATTCTA